TATGCTTTTCCAAGAAGACTCGCAGGCACAGTATTGTGTTTGGTCCCCACCACAGCTACGTGAGGTAGGACATCATGCCCACTTTATAGCTGGGGAAACTGAGGCACAGACTAGCTACATGATCTGGCCAAGATCATTCAGGTTGGTGGCAGTTTATTATTTTTTTAAAATAAGTCACCTGGAAAGCATCCTTGCTTCTTAGGTTCACCTGCTGAAACACCAATTGACTCAGCGGCCTTTGCAGAAAGGACACATGCTATAAATTAGTAGCAGAAGACTTTGTCTCCTGGGACAAACATGCTTCCCATGATTGGATGATGAGAATTATAAAATCTTGATGTGTTTCTTTTTTTACCATTGCTCCCAGGAAACTCAAGAATAAAATTGAATTACATGATTATGGAAATTATATCAGGTAGATTTGAAGAAGAATTCGTCTTGCTTTTTGACTTTCTATTTTTGTTATCTTATTGAACACTTACGACTAAGATTGTAAATGCTCCTGATGCCTTTTCGAAATCCTTAGAGTAATTAAATCAGAGTTTGGTTGAGGACCCAGTCCCTTAAGTCCCCGCTCAATGTTTTTTTTTTTTTTGAGACAGAGTCTCAACTGTGTTGCCTGGGCTAGAGTGCCGTGGCGTCATCCTAGCTCACAGCAACCTCAAACTCCTGGGCTCAAGTGATCCTCCTGCCTCAGCCTCCCGAGTAGCTGGGACTACAGGCATGCGCCACCATGCCCGGCTAATTTTTTTCTATATATTTTTAGCTGTCCAATTAATTTCTTTCTAATTTTAGTAGAGACAGGGATCTCACTCTTGCTCAGGCTGGTTTCGAACTCCTGAGCTCAAACAATCCGCCCGCCTCAGCCTCCCAGAGAGCTAGGATTACAGGCGTGAGCCACCGCGCCCGGCCTCAATGCTCTTTTTAAGATATAGCATTGCAGTTATTGGTTAAAAGAAAAATGGCCTAATGGTCAGGGCTGTGAACACAAACAGTGTAGCCAATGGTGGTTAGGAGCCCCCTGAGAGAAGGCCGAGGTGGAGCCCAGGAATCTGCATTTTGAGCATGCCCTCAGAGGATTCTGATAAAGGGGGGCCCCAGACCACTTTTTGGAACACACAGGTCTAGGAATCTGAAGTGGACTTTTTTCATGTCTGGGTTGACCAGTGGCATTTTCTGGGTGTCCTATATCCACACAAAGCCCCCAGTGGAGCAGTGGGTTTGCACAGCAAGCAGGACAGAGTTGGACTGGGGGATCCAGTGGACCCAAGTTCTCATCTAAACTTGATGACTTCCTAGTTGGGTGCCCTGCAGAGACCTGCACCTCAGTTTCCCCATCTGCAAAACAACAGCCCTGATCTGTGTCCTGCCCAGGCTGCCTCCCAGAGTTGTCCCAGAGAGCTCTGAAAGAGATATAGTTTGGAGAAGCGATTTCTAAATAGTGCAGTGCCTTGGGCGGGATGCGTAGGGGATTGTTATTATTAACAAAGAGGTAGTGGGAGCTTGGGGGTCTGATGAGGCTGGAAGTGGGGAACACTCTGGATGGGAGGGGAGAGGGAGGACACACCTGGACATTGGGTGGGCACGAGGAGAATAGGTGGGGTGATGAAACCATGAAAGGTACATGGGAGTAGATGTCATGGAGCCATGTTGGCCTCCAGGTGCAAGAGGGTTAAGACTTTGGGCCCTCGACCTTGTCACCTGGAAGGCCAGCTGGTAGAAGAGTGTCCCTGGGGACACTAAGGGGTGAACCCCATTTTGAGTCCATGGAAAGCAAGACCTCTTGGAGGTCTGCCCTTGGTGGGGAAATAACTGGGAGAAGAGCTGGTGGGGGCCAGGGAACTGGATTCTGATATCTTGCACACGCAGGCCTAAGAGCCGTGGGTGCACCAAAGTAGTTTGATTTTCATTCCAATAAAGTCACCATTGCCCCTGGAAGGGTCTGATTTGCTTGTGGGAAGAGGTCAGGCATAAGCAACGTGAGGTTCCCCAGTTTAGGGTCAATTGTGCCAACTTGTCCCCCATTTCCCCCCAACCAACTGGTGCCAACCCCATGGACCCAAGCCAAGCAGCCTGTAGGGGATGGGGACACCAGGGTTCCTTGGGACTTTGGTTGAAGAGAGAGTAGAGATGAGAAAAAGGGAAAGAAGGACAGGGGAGGAGAGGAAGGAAGGGGCATAGTGGAAGGGGAGAAAGGGAAGAAGGGCAGCGTTCCTTCCTGGGATCCAATCCTCCAGGGAATCCCCACTGTGGGTCAGGCAGTTTTCTGCTTTGGGAATGTTACCAAGACTTAAAAGGCATTTGAAGAAACAAACAAATTTAGAAATTACATTCCAAAAGAGCAAAGAGTTTTTACAAACCAATCCCCCCACCCCAAAAAGGAAAACACAACCAGTTACGAAGTAAAATGCTAAAAACCAAACCAAACCAAACCAATATTTACATGTAACATTTTCAACCCCATCGAGCCCCACATCCAGAGGCTTCTGCAGGAACAGTGACGAGTGGCCTTGCACAGTGGCATGCGGGACGTAGAAACTGGGAGATCTGAAGCCCCAGACAGTGGCTGGGGGCCAGGGGGCCTGGGTGCTGAGACAACGACGATGGCAAGGACAATCTTGGATGAGGGCGACGGTAAGGCTGAGTGGGCCACAGGCCTCGGGGTTCAGGTCTCATGGGGATTTCTCCCCAAGGCCAGGAGTGACGCCTCCCTGGCCCTCTGTAGCTCTGGGAGGTGGCAGAAGATCTCTGGTGGCTTGTGGCCTGGTGTGAGTCCCCTCACCTGGAGATAACCTTGGAGGGTCCCCCCGACCTCTTGGGTGGGAGCAGCAGCACCCCAGATGGGAAGTGGCCCATAGCTCTACTGGCCTGCCTGCTCTGCCCACACACGTCACTACAGCATGAGGATGCGGCTGGGACTGGCGTGACCCTGATGTTCAGTCTACAGGGAAGGGAGATGAAGAACTCGGGCAAGCTGGTCCAGGTGGTGCTGAAAGGGTGGGATGGGAACTGGTGGGACGTGGGAGTGCAGGAGCGTCTCCTGAGTCTTGGGAGCAAACTAGCAAAGCTGCTGGCTTTTGGTGTTCCGGATGAGGAATTCTGCAGACAAACCAATCTGTCCTGGTGTTTCTATTCTGGGTCCCCAGCCAGTTACAGGAGGGCTGCAGGTCTGTGTGTGTGCGGGCATGTACGCAGCACAAATGGGTTCGTTGGCACCAAAGGGGAGGAATGTGAGGCCCTCCTCGCCACACTGCAATGAGCCATGTTGCGATCCAACCAATGGCTCGGGCAGCTCACACGGGGTGTGGGCAAGGGCAGGCAGTGGAGCTGGGGCTGGGAGAAGAGTCGTGAAAGGCCATAGGCTAAGGAAAGAGGCTGGTGAAAAGGCTGGCAGGCTGGTGAGAACCGAGGCAGGCTGGCAGACACTCTCAGGTCCATGTGCAAAGCTGCAATAAACCACGTTCTCGAAGTTCAGTCCTGTTTTCCTGCGAGTTCTCACTTGGGGAACTTGGAGGGATCTCCGTGCTCTTAATAGAGCCTTAGTAATCCACATTAGACTCACACACACACACAAAAAAGGTGTCAGAGGGAGGGAGGAAAAAGAGAAGGGAAACGGAGAATGTCTGGGGAGTGGTGGCATCAGTCCAGCCCTCCGCCCTGTCAGCAGGTGTTTACAAACTGACTGCTGGGGCCGGGCAAGTACCAGGTGTGGACTAACAAGTAGTGTTCTGAGGCCAAAAGGCCAGCAGTGTAGGGGAGCCAGCTGCAGGGCTCCCGCTCTGGCGAGGGGCCCTCTGATCCTGACCAGGAGACCAGGGTACAGTCTCCAAACCTGGCTGCTGAGTGGCCTTGTCCACATAAGGGACCTCATGCCTGTCCGTGCTGTTAGAAGGCCCACACTGTCCCAGTGGCAAGAATACATGTCTTGACCTCCAATAAATTACCTTAGGGACTTTGGGGATAAATTAAATTATTAAAATAAAGTAAACCACCTTAAATATTTATAATAAGAAAAATTCAAATAAACAATCTAGGCAAGAAATGTGTTTCCAGGCCCCAGTCTACTGCTGCGTCCTGGGCACTGGCCTCTTGGAGTTCTCCGTGGCCTGACCTGGCTGACGGGGCGTCTCCTACGGGGAATATCTTTGCCTCCAGCGGCTGCAGGATGTAAACACAGTGGAGACCGGTGCCAGCGAAAGAGGCTCCAAGATCAAGGCAGTGGGCTTTTAGGCATTTACCTATGCACCAGGTCTTAAGACCAACTCTACCTATTTCTGTCCTCACAAAGTCTCCTGGAAAGGTTGGGGTTCCCCGAGTCACCTTGGCAGGGGAGGCAATTCCAAAACTCTCCACCCCTGAGCCCTACACATTCCCACCTCGTCTCCCAGTTCTTGCTGCATCCAGGCTACAGGCAGGGAGATCCAGGGCTCCAGGATGCCCAGCAGGCACTTGGCCCTGGCTGCAGCCCTATCATACCCCCCGAGTCCCGGAAACCCAGGGCAGCGGGGCTGGGAGGAGGAGGTGGTGGAGGGAAGGAGGTGATGGTGACGATGCCCAGCTCAGCTCCGCCAGGAGCCCCTGGTCGAGCCCTGCAGCAAAGCCTGCTCTTCTCAGTGGTGTCTGCTCCCCAGTCAAGGGGTATGTGGTCAGCAGGGAACATCTCTCCGAGCTCTTCTCCCCGAGGGCATGGCCAGAAGCGTACCCTTCCCGGGCTCTTCCAAGAAGTGGGCGTGGGTAGAACCAGGCAAGGCTCTGCCTTAGGACCCAGGGAACGGCTCGTGATGGATCTCTCTGTTGGTGCTTCCAAATCCCAGTTTTTGTCTTTCTCCCACTCACTGCCTTCCCCTGGGAAGTTGGGGCTCACCACCCAGCGGTCAGCAGGAGACCCCGCTTTACCTTGATGTGAAAGCTGCTCTCTGGCGGTGGTATAGCTGCTGCCGCCTCCGGGGCTGGGCGATGCTGAGGGCGCAGCAGCTTGCCTCCTCTCTGCTGGTTCCCTCCTGCTATCCAGGGACGGGGCTGGTTGAGGCAGGGAGCTCTGCTGCTCTGTCACTCGCTGGGGGGGGCCGCCCTCTCCTCCCCACCCCAGCTGGACTCTGAAGGGTGCAGCCTGCACTTGGAAGGAGAGTGGCGGATGGCAGAGCGGGACGGCCGGGCGAAGCAGGAGGTGAGAGACTGGGTGCTACAGTCACAAATGGCATCCTAGGAGGAGAGAGGCAGGAAGTCAGGAGCCAGGAGGCACGTGCCACTGGGGGCTGGGTGGCCAGCCAGGCAAGGAATCTGGACTCAGCCGTGCCCATGGACCAGTGCCCAGGGCCTGCAGCCCTTCACTGAATCAATTTTTCCTTTTATTGCTTTTCTCCCATTAGAATAGTAATGGATGTTCATGATAAAATACTCTGGACTATACACAGATGAGGGTGGACACTGCCCTTGGTCCTACACATCGAAGATAAATTCTCAACATATTGCATATACAGACATTTGCCAAATGACCTCATTTCCTAGTTTAACTGCAAAACATGAGCACTTTTCTGTCACTATGTATGTCTAGATCTCCTTTTTTAAGGGCTTTATACCATTCTACTGAATGGAAATAATTTATTTATCCAATTCATTTTTGATGTGCATTTGGGTAGTTTCTAATTTTTTACTATTACCATTAGACAGGGATAATGGTTAAAATTGCTGCTATAGAACCAGACTGCTCGGTTCAAATCCCAGCTCTTCCACTTATAAGCTGTGTGACCTTCGGCAAGTTACTTAACCTCTCTGAGCCTTGATTTCCTCCTCTTTAAGATGAGGGACATGATATCTTTCTCAACAGTGTGAAAGTCAAATCAGATATGATATGTAAAGCAGTTGACATAGAACCTATTAAGCACTTAACAATGGTTAGCAATTTTTATTAATAACGTACTACATTCTTTTGTTTTTTAGAGACGAGGTTGCTTTCTATTGCCCAGGCTGGAATGCAGAGGTGTGTTCATATCTCACTGCAACCTCCTACTCCTAGGCTCAAGCGATCCTCCTGCTTCAGCCTTTCAAGTAGCTGGGACAACAGGCACACGCCACCATGCCTGGCTAATTTTTTAAAATTTTTTTGTGGAGACAGGATCTCACTTTGTTGCCCAGGCTGGTCTCGAACACCTGGGCTCAAACAATCCTCTCCCCTCAGCCTCCCAAAGTGCTGGGATTACAGGTATGAGCCACCGCACCTGGCCAGTACATTTCTTTATAAATGTATTTTCTTCAACCTCTGTGAACATTTCCATAGGTTATATTCCTAAAAGGAGAACTACTGGGTCAATGGGTAGCATGCACCTTTCATATACTGAAAAATATTTGGATCAACCTTTTTTCTTTATTTGAGACAGGGTCTCACTCTGTTGCCAGGGCATCATCATAGCTCACTGAAACTTCTAACTCCTGGGCATGAGTGATCCTCCTGCCTCAGCCTCCTGAGTAGCTGGGACTACAGGCATGCGCTGCCACCACACCTGGCTAATTTTTTAAAAGTTTTTGTAGAAACAGGGTCCCACTGTGTTGCTTAGGCTGGTCTCAAACTCCTGGCCTCAAGGCTATCCTTGGCCTCCCAAAGTGCTAGGATTACAGGCATGAGCCACAATGCCCGGCCTGGATCAACTTAAAATCAACATTTAGCCGGGCGCGGTGGCTCACGCCTGTAATCCTAGCACTCTGGGAGGCCGAGGCGGGCGGATTGTTTGAGCTCAGGAGTTCGAAACCAGCCTGAGCAAGAGCGAGACCCTGTCTCTACTAAAAAAAATAGAAAGAAATTATCTGGACAACTAAAAATATATAGAAAAAATTAGCTGGGCAGGGTGGCGTATGCCTGTAGTCCCAGCTACTCAGGAGGCTGAGGCAGAAGGATCGCTTGAGCTCAGGAGTTTGAGGTTGCTGTGAGCTAGGCTGATGCCACGGCACTCACTCTAGCCAGGGCAACAGAGTGAGACTCTGTCTCAATCAATCAATAAAATCAACATTTAAAATCCAGCCAGCTTTGTACTGTTGTTTCTTGATGTGGTGCTGGGGTTATATGGGTGTGATGGTTGATTTTATATGTCAGCATGACTGGGCCATGGAGTGTCCAGATGAAACATTATTCTGGGTGTTTCTGTGAGGGTGTTTTTAGATGAGATTAACATTTAAATTCTCCCTAATGTCAGTGGGACTCATCCAATCAGTTGAAGGCTTGAATAGAACAAAAGAGCTGACTCTTCCCCAAGTTAGAAATTCTTCCTCCTGCCAGCCTTCAGACAGACATTGGCTTTTTTCCTGCCTTCACACTAGAACTGAAACATCAGCTCTTCCTGGGTCAGTAGGCTGCTGGCCTTTTGACTAGAATTAAACCATTAGCTTTCCTAGTTCTCGAGCCTTCAGACTCAGAATGAAACTATACCGTTGGATTTCCTGGGTTTCCAACCTGCTGACTCACTCTGCAGAGCGAGGGACTTGCCAGACTCCATGATCACATGAGCTAATTCCTCATAACAAATCTCTCTCTCCCCTCTACTCTCTCCATATATCCTATCGGTTCTGTTTCTCTAGAGAACCCTCCCTAATGGAATGGCTGTATTCAGTTTGTGAGAATTCAGCGAGCTATACTCTTACAGTATGCTCCGTATGAATATTAAATTTAAATGTAAAAGTTTATCAAAAGTTACAAAAATAGAAATAAATATTTAAAATTTTTTTTTAAACAACAGCCAGCTCTGAATGAGAGTATAGAAAAGTAAAGCACTCGCCACACACTATCAGAAGCTGGAGAAATTGGACAAACTCTTTTGGAAAACAATTTGGCAACATTTATCAAATATCTTTAAAAAATTTATATCCTTTTGTCCTATAATCCCATTTCTGCAACTCAAACCTAAGGAAATAATCTGAAATGTGGAGAAATGTTTTTGCACCAAGATGTTCACCACAGCATTGTTTATAATAGAGAAAAACCAGAAACCTCCCGGATGTACGGTAGCAGGGAAGCTAACCTTTTGAGTCAATCACAGCCCTTCTCACGTCTCTGTGCCTCCACCTGTGCCCCCACCAAACCCACAGCAGGACACATGGTACTGCCCTCAGCCACAGCTGATTGGACCAAAGGGGTACACCTGACTCAAGCTGGACCAATCGGAGTTTCTGTATTCTAGAAAGGTGGAACTGGGACAGAGGGACCTGAGTCAGTCTCCTCTGGGTGCTCCAGCTGGCAGATGTCATAAAACCAGAGCCAGGACAGTCCACCCAGCTCCTGTGCAAATGCAACAGAGAGAGAGAAAGGAGAGGAGGAAAGCAACATCATAAAAAATGAAGCTCGGCTGGGCGCGGTGGCTCACGCCTGTAATCCTAGCACTCTGGGAAGCCGAGGTGGGTGGATCGTTTGAGCTTTGAGTTCGACACCAGCCTGAGCAAGAGCGAGA